CAAAACAAAACAAAACAAAACAAAACAAAACAAAACCCACCACCTTGTAGTATACCTGCCTCCAAGCATATTAGGTTTTTCTAAAATAGAGTGAGCAGCCAGGATTTTAGGAGCAGTGGCCACCCTCCAAGCCTTTCTTTTGGTTCTTGGAATCCACCCCCTATCTCAGATCATGCTGATATATTTGATAGGAAGTTCCCAATTTGCATTGGCACGTGTTTTCACTTAAAACCAAACAAATGCTAAGCAATACACTTTTAATAGGCTGACTATATCTAATTTATTTAACAACCCTGACCTCCAAAAATTAATTTATAATAGCATAGAAATAAGAAAACCGTTGGTTCACAGCAGGTGCTACTTCACCTCTTCCATCTCTTGAAAAGATTCCCTCTATCACACAACAGCTTCGCCTGCTGGCTACCAATGTGAGAAAGGGAATTCTAGATAGGCCACCTAACGTTAGCATGACACGGAAGAGGCAACAGCACACACACCATTAATAAGAAATATTTTTTTCTGGTCTTATTTTTCTGTTCCTCTCAGTGATCACTGAAAGAAGAGGTAAAGATCTTATCCTTCCCCAGTAATGATTTGATTTCTCTTGAGATAATCCAAAATGTCAGTAGTATTTTCTCATCACTGAACTTGAGCATAAATCAATTAAACAGAAAGTAACCTTTGTCCTTCTAATGAAGAAGTAACTCTTCATCAGCCTAATTTTAAGATATGGTTTATGAATGGTGATACCTATAAGATATCCGATCAAATGGAACCAACAGTTTAAAAAAAAATATAATAAGACAATGTAATACCAAACTATTATGAAACTGCAGGCAAAATATTAGCTCTTTTAAATCAACATGTAATATCATGTCCCTCAACATTGCTTTTAAGGTCAATAAAGCAATGAAACATGCTTTTAATTTAGGATTGGCTGGTCAATGAAAGTAGAGCCATCAAGAGAAAGCACTGTGGTTGAAATTAGACTTTAAATCTTTAATGAATTTCTACACTCCAGCTATATGCAAGATAGGAATGCAGCCAAAGTAGTTTTTAAACTACGGATTATGACTTTGTATTATCAGTGAATCCAACCAATTCTAATTGATTTAAAAACAATGGTTAAAAGAAGCCTGCCATAGCATGTTATACAAATCCAACTATTATGTCTCTTTAATCCTAGCCAAACTGACTGGCAAATTTCTCTTCCATTGGACAAGTGTTTGGTCCTTGATCAGTTCTTGTAATGGTATGTGGGAATGACCTTGAGTGAAAGATGGAAGAGCTTCAGACTAGACAATAGTGAGACAAGTGGCAGCTGAGTCTGCAGAGGGAATGTGGGTGTGGCACATGTCTCAGAAGGGCCTTGCCCTAGTTTCTTGGACTGTAAAGGTGAGGGGGAGGGAGATGTACTTTCAGACTAACAAGACTGTGCTAATGAAAACTGACAATAAACTTAGAGCTAGTACTTCTGGATGTGCTTCTTATCTGGACTACCTCACAAGAGTGACAGTTCTTGTCAATGGCAGTTGTTGTCATTTCCCAAACATGATGAAATGAAACATGTCATACTTTATTACTTGTTTGTTCAATTTTTATGGTTGCCCACTCACCAGGTAACTCAGGGTAACTAACAAGGGTTAAGAAGATCAAACAAAAGTAAGAAAAAAGATAAAATGTTGAAATAATTAAGCATAAGAAAATAAACATACTATGGGGGATGCACAGACACAGCTCATATAGTTACAACTGGGCCAGCATCTGGATGAAGAACCAGGTCTTTAGGGCCTTCCTAAAGACTAGCAGTGATGACTTGAATCAATTTGGGGGGGGGGGGCTGCTTGTTCCATAAAGTAGGTAGTGTGATGGAGAAGTATGGCTGTAACAAAGGATGATGGTGACAATGATGATGATGATGATATCTAAGCCCAGTGAATGAAGGACTTCACAAGTGACCACCAGCCACCTGAATTGCACTTAGACACCCACTGGTAAGCAGTGCTGTTCAGGCAGCAGTGGTGTTACATGACTGTACCAAGGTACATCCATAATTATTTGTGCTGCCACATTCTGGACCAGCTATAGCTTCCAAGTGGTCTTCAAGGGCAGCTCCATATAGAGTGCATTGTTCCACATTAGTCAGGAGAGAGGAAACTAAAGCATGAATGACTTAGTTATAATAGTTATAACAAACT